GATTTTTTTACACGGCACCCCTGCTCTCGACAGAAGGCACCCCGGTTGGGAAACACTGGTCTAGAGCAGTGGTTCTCAAATGGGGCCCACGTTTTAATGGGCATTTGGCCGTAACCCAAATATTTAGGCAGCAGCGGTCTGGTCATCTGAAGCACCAGAACATTTCCCAGTGGCCTGATGGTCGTTCTGGCCTGCCTTGCAGTCAGCTTGACGTGTGATAGGCTGATATGTTACATGTAGAATGAACTGACAGACCTCTCAGAATCTATGAATCAGGCTACCGCTGTGTGAAAATGACTCCACACATGACAAACTGAGCTTGAGGGTATACAGGTAAAAAGGGAATTGTATTATGGCATTTGTGGCTGGCTAGCACCACCAGTGCTGAAGACCCGGAGGAAGTGGAGAAAACCCAGATAGAGGAAACTTCCTAATATTGCCATGCAGGGGAAGATTGTGTCTTCTTTGTGAAGGCTATGTGTCATGGGTTAGTGTTCGCTGTGAATATTAAATGTGTGCCCTTTTTTTTTTTTTTTTTACTGTGTGGGCTAGGGATGGAAAAATGAAGCCTCTTAAATCTTTGAAGGTTTGTTTCGGGAAAAGAGTTGAAATTCAAAGCGTCAGGAGTCTAGGAAACAGTGCCATCTTGTGGTAGGTAAAATTTAAGCAGTCATAAATCAAAGTACGCAGATCGTTAATTTAGTCATTAGGCACAAATAAAAGCCTGACAATGTTAATTTTATTCAGCAATAGCTGAAATGAGAATATCAATCAGCAAAAAGTTGCAAGTAGTAAATTAATAATTAATAAATAATTTGCAATAATTTGTAATACACTTTGACATAACTGAGATACAGTTTACCACCACAATTTGTAACCAAAAACTTTGGCCTATATGATCTTTTAAAACACTCACCGCTTAACCCCAAAGATCTCTGGAGAATGTTTACCAGCAGTAATCGAGCCTGGTCACTTGCTGCTGTCTTCTTCTTGTTGTTGAACACATGGTATCTCTGATCATATTTCTCAACAAGTGTCTTCAACCCATTATTTCTATCAAGGAATTCTTGTATTGTCAGGTTGTCTTCCTCCAGTTCGTCTCCTCTGGTGAAGAGAATCCAGGTTTTATTCAGGCGTTCTTCTCCCAGCAGCTTCTCAATCTTCTCCACAGTTTTTCTCTCTTCTTCAGTGAAACTATCAGCTTTGATGACCAGCAGAAACACACAGTGACCTGATTCACATCTCTGAAGGACATTTTCAATCTTCTGCTGAATCTCATCTTCACTCAGTTCTGGGTCACAGATTCCTGGTGTGTCATAAACATTGACTGGAAACCCATCAACAGTCCCAGATTCAACAGTGTTATCAGGCGTGACAGAACCAGATCTTCTCCTTGATATGAAAGCTTCTCGTCCCAGTATTGTGTTTCCTGACACACTCTTCCCAGCTCGTTTTTTCCCCAGTAAAATTAAGTTTAAATATGCTTTAGGTTCCATTTTTGTTGTGTGGCCTACAACTAAATAGGAAAAAATAGTGTGAGACAGCAAAGACTAATTTATTTAGTCATTTACTAATTTAGGTTTATTCCCTCTAATCTTTTTTCTCTCTCTCTTTTCATTGAGAGACTTTAATGTTTTGCCCTAACTAGCAATGACTTGTTCACACTGGTTTTGTGACACCAAACCTTTATGAATCCATAAATGTTAATTTTATACTAAATATTTTGTTAAAGTATGTTTTCATAATATACTTCATAGCACCTGTAAGTATTTGTAAGGAGATCAATAATATTGAAACCTAAGCTCTAAGTGCTCCACTCAAAATGCTGCTGCTCTTGTACACATTAAGTTACTATAAGTGTATAACATGATTATGATTTGATTTAATAACAGTAAAACAGAACCAAGCAAGCTTACAGAAATACATGCTGTCTGATAAAATGTAAATTAGATGCCACATAGGAGACTGCAGTGGTGTATTTCATTAGGAGTGGTGTTGTTACGTTTTGTTTATTTTTATTTGTTCTTTTATGCAAATTCCCTGCATAAAAACATTCCCTATTTGTCTGACAGTTTTACGTATTTTTCTTTTTAGTCTGAAAAATATAGTAATGAAAAAAAAAAATCTGATATTTATTGATAAATCCACCAAAGTCTCTCAAATGTTTCAGTGTCTTACTATTAGCTTTACCAGTAAGATTAAATGTCTCCATAAGACTGTCAGTAATACATTTACAGCATATGTTTCCTGAATACAGTTGTATTGTATCATTATACTTCACAGTAATATTAAGTCAAGTTTTACTCTATCACTTTCATGACAAATTTTGTATTTCCTGTTTATTTCTGACTTATCATAGCATATTAAGTCAACGAATAATTGAAAACAACTTTTAAAATGGATCATATTAAGCAGTGCAGTCAAACCTGTTTCTCTCTGTGTGTCAATCTGTCAAGCTCCGGAAGTCCAAATGAAAGTTTTCTGCTGGTCTTTATATAGACACATAAACAGTCGGTGGTTGGTGAAATGACATATCAGAAAGTCAAAGGGATTTTTTTTCCGGTAACACTTTATTTTAAGGCATCCTTGTTACACATGTTACATGTACTTACTATTATAATAACAATAAACTATGCATAATTACATGCAAGTAACCCTAAGCCAAACCCTAACCATATAGTAAGTACATGTAGTTAATTCATATTACTCACACCTTACACCTAAAAATAAAGTGTAGAAATGTATTGTGACTTCTGCCATATTTAGAGGTGTATGCATGTAAATCTGTTCTTAAGCTCATCTGGTTTAGATGCACCTTGATTATTTTAAACATGTAAGCTGATAAACACGGTGAGTAATAGGTATATGTCCAAAATTTTGACACAATCTCTCCTGTGCAGCCATTCATCACTTTCTGAAAACATGCTCTCTAAAGATAATTTTAAAGTAAAGCCAAGAATGCCATATTTGCAACAATTTTTTTAAAAACAAGTATTTTTAATGTATTAATTTTGCCTTGTAATGCAACTTATAATACACATTTATTCACTAAACACATGCACCTTTAGAAAGTAAAATGCATTAAAACACGACAGAACAACCAATTTAAGACGTAACAAGGAATCTGCAAATATTATAATGATTTTATATTTAGTTACAATAATTTATGAAATGATAGAATACTTAACATACATTATAAATGCCTATAAAATGAATTATACAAGTTTTATTATACAAGTATTGAGTAGTTTTTGTTTTATATAGATTACACATGATAATCTAAACTTTTTACAGAAGCCCAGTTCAAGCAGTTATATATACTTTTTGTTACTCTGAAAAAAAAAATACATTCTCAATTTTTTTCAATTTATATATATATAACATGAAAATGTTCCCAATCAAAATCTTTGATGAGTGAGAGTTCAACAAGAATAATTTTCCATAGCTGTGGAACTGTACCCTGATCGGGAAAAAAAATCTGAAATTGTGAGATAAAACGTGACAATTACATTTGTTTTGTTTTTTTACAGCTGATCCTGATGAACTTTTCCCAACTCTTCTCCAGACGGACAATATTATTGTCCTTGTGTTTCAACAGGAAGATATTCTGAGCCTCCATCTCATCGTATTTACATTTTTTTCTCCATGATAAAGTTTACCAGCTGGTGAAGACCTACATTCTTTGAAGGCTGATGGAGGAGCTGAGGAATGAATTGAGATCCTCTGTGATGATTTGATTTGCAGATGTGATGTCTCTGCCTGTCAGATTATTTGATTACACAATAGATTATTATCAGGCACACTAACAGACGACGACAAAACAAAAAATTACAGAATGTAACGACTCACTTCAGTTCTAAATACAGCATGATGAACTTTTATATTTGTCTGTGAATTTAGACAGTCTGAATCAGTCTTTTCATATAGTAGATCATCATACTTTTTTTAGCTTTAAGACCTGCAGAAGAGAAAATCATAAGCATAATTATGAGCTTAATTATCCAGCAACTACAAACATGTTTATTTTAGAAAACTGCTTGTGATGCCATTATAACAGGGCTGCCCAACCCTGTTCCTGGAGAGCTACCTTCCTGCAGAGTTCAGCTCAAATCCTGATCAAACACATCTGAACCAACTAATTAGGATCTGAAGGAGCACTTGATAATTACAGACAGGTGTGTTTGATCAGGGCTGGAACTGAACTCTGCAGGAAGGTAGATATCCAGGACCAGGGTTGGGCACCCCTGCATTATAATAACGAAGCACAGGGTTTCCTAAACATTCGTATTTAAACATTCACATGAAACACTCTTATTTATAGAAATTTCCACCTACATAATTTAGTGTAATGTTTCACCCACAGCGTAAGGCATAAGACATCAATTCATGCCCATACCACACAAACGTCAGTATCTTTTATACGAGGCCTGACGACCTTAAACTATGATGTGCTGTTTGTTTAGCGTGTACATCGGGGATGTGTGTTCAGCATTGTGGCTGATTTAGTGATTTTATGTGACAAGTTAAAAGTACTGGTTTTATTGTTTTTGCCATTCTTTACTATGTGGGTTCTGGGCAAACATCCCCAAACATCCTGAGTGTGACTTTTTGTGGTCACACATCATTGTATTTAGATGTCCTGGTTATAACACACAAACATCTGAAATCTCCATACAGTATTTCCACAGGCTCTTGATTATTTACCAGTCCAGCAGGGTCATAGCCACCATTATAACTGAGTGGATGCATCCCTCTTCCGTTTTTAAAAGTCTACCTTTGCCTGACAGATAGTGCCACTGCCTCAGGCGATGGTTCACATGAGTTTGTTCATAAGATTGAAAGGTAAATAAAAGCATATATATATATATATATATATATATATATATATATTGGAGTACAATACACAAGTTGTACTGATGACATTTATTGGGTGTTATATATATATATATAGAGAGAGAGAGAGAGAGAGAGAGAGAGAGAGCTGGGTAGTACCTAATTACATTTAATCTGGATACAATTAGATTACATTACATTTTAAAATACTTGTAATAAGACTGCAGTTGCTTTATATTGATTACATGATTATATATTAGTCACTCAATACCAATACATTATTCTGCATTTATTGATTCTCCCTAATTCTTTTTCATTTTGTACAATTTCCGTTCTAAAATGCCTACCGTTTATATAAGCTCAGAAAGTCTTCCAGTTTTGTGGACAATCACACAAAGACCAGTCATTGGTCAGGTGGCCACACAGCATTTGACCACTGGATTCACAAAAATCATTACAGGTTTAAGAAGTTTTTACTCAACGTTTCAACATTGCATCAACTACTAATGCACACGTTAATGTTTATTTGATCTCTCAGTGGGTTACTTAACCATGTATTACTATGTCTTTGGAAGGCTTTTTGCCTTTCAAACACATTAAAATGCACAAATTCACATTATTTCTTATTCATGTATTGCAGGGATTGTGCAACTTTTTCATTATTGAAATTATCTTTCACCTAATATATTTACTTGAAGTACCCTCTAAGATTATAATGGTTTAATTAGGCTAAATTAATATAATTAATTTTAATAATAGCCCCCCAAGTAAATGTACACATTTGTACAATGTGTAAGATCGATGTAACACATTTGCATGTTCACGATTGTCTGATTTCTGAGTTATATTCAAATTATAGTTAAACCTGAACATTGAAAGTCTTCTGAATTTCAAACAACATAAACATGATTCCAGCCAAAAGCTGAAAAATATGCATTGCACAGAGAGTATGGCATATACTGATTTGCAAAAGGAGGCTTTTTAAAGAAAACTACCAAACCTGCTTAAGTGTAGCTAAGTTAGTGAAAATTTGATCACGTATGATCCAGATAGCAAAAGTACATCTGCAAGACGTCTGTTAAAGATCACTTGATTTGGAAAGCATCTGCAAACATCCGACAGACGTCTGTAAGATGTCAGTTTTACATAGCCTACTTTTTAAATCATCTTAAAGGCTACATCTTGCAGATATAAATGCAGATGTTAAATAGACTTCAATGTGATGTACGTGCGCTATATTGTTATCCAGAAACTCAGATGTGAGTTACAGATTTTGTCAGTAGGAGACGTGCACACTGACTGGTTAAATGAAAATGTAATCTCGCTGAGGAAAATAAAGACTACATTGAAAACAAACACTGACATGTCTGCACAGGCTTTATAAAACTTAGATACCTGAAAGTCTGGAGCAGCTTGAAAGCAGCCTTAAATTTTGTGATATGGATGCCAAACACTAACCCAAATAGAGGGGAGCAGGTATGGTTGTAACACTTTTTGTTTCAGCATCTGTAACTCGCTGAATTTTTGAGCCAGAGTGTTCAAATTTTTATACAAAGCACCCACATTTGTTCACTACAAAAGGCACCAATTCAAACCTCTGCAAGAATATCACAGCCCTTATAAGTTGATGTTAAATACATGGAGAGCCTTTGTTACAATCTACCCCACTGCAGGGGTGTTGTAACACATACTGGGAAGAATTGTAACAGTCAGACAAAAGAAGCAAAAACAGCAGCCACCCCATGAAGTTTGCTTCAAAAACATGTTTATTGAAACAATCTAAAAGAACTATACAACACAATGGCGCACTTTCTACGAATGACCACAGCTCAAATCCAGTTTACCGAGGTAAAGAATATGTAGATCTAACAAAAAACTGTGTTAATTCGTGTGTGATATTGTGTCTATGTATGATTTTTCTCAACCAGAGTCATGTCAACCCAATGTTTTTAACCCTAGAGTGCAGGCTTGGTGGATCCAGAAACTGCACAGGGCACATATTACCCACACTTCCTTTGGCTTTGAGCTGCCAAAAAAGCTCCATATAGACAACATGAAAGTTCTCAGTTCTATGTAAGGGAATGCTAAAATGTGTTACAACTTACCCCACCCCTGTCATCCAATGTTTAGTTAGCTGTATTAGCATAATGGTTTGAAATTAGCAGTTTAAAAATTCATCACATTTTGCCTGAGAATCTATAATTTATTTTTTATGTAAATTATATGATTTAATCTGCAACGGTTTAAGTATTAAGCAAAATATAGTTTTGGTAACTTTGATTCTTACACCAAAATCATTTTTTTCTTCATCCCCTCAACTGTCACCCCCCATTTTTTAAAATAGGCATGCAGGTGCACTAACCAAACTTAAATTGTTGTTATTTATGAACACTTTGCAATACAGACATAAGGTTGGTCTCTTTTTAAAGAAGAAAATCAGCAGATTATTATATTAACATTCCAAAAGTGGAATGTTAAAATTAAATTAATGTATCAAAAAGTTATGGTAGTTTAAATTTACTGTAAAGAAAATGCACTATATTAATTTTATTTTATATATAATAAATATTTTACATAACAGGTTTTACTCTAAAATTGGTATAAAATTAAAGCCTTATGTCTAAATAAGTTATGTTCCAAATTTGAAGTTGATATGAAAAAAAATTGAGATTCCTGTGAGATTTTATTTAGGGCGTTATACCACAAGCAGGTGCCATCCAAACTCCATTGAATTTTTTAATATAATTTTTTTCTCTATATATTACTATATTATATTACTTCTATCTCAAATATGGAATCCTGAGACTCAGACCTTTCCAATGATATGTTTTTTGTCAAGATTATAAAAAGGTTTGATTCTAAAAGACCGTAATTCATTTTGCAATATGACACTTGACACTGCCCACTAAGGGGAGGAGACCACCAAAATATTTTAAAGTACCATTTCCATGGTAATGCAATGTCCGATTTCAAAATGGTTTTCACAGGATACATTTTGGGCTTCCAAGCTTTCTAATGATGTATGATTTATGATGATTACTAAAAGATTTGATAAGAGAAAAAGGGTTTATTGAAACAATCTAAAAGAACTATACAAAACAATGGCGCACTTTCTACGAATGACCACAGCTCAAATCCAGTTTACCGAGGTAAAGAATATGTAGATCTAACAAAAAACGGTGTTAATTCGTGTGTGATATTGTGTCTATGTATGATTTTTCTCAACCAGAGTCATGTCAACCCAATGTTTTTAACCCTAGAGTGCAGGTTTGGTGGATCCAGAAACTGCACAGGGCACATATTACCCACACTTCCTTTGGCTTTGAGCTGCCAAAAAAGCTCCATATAGACAACATGAAAGTTCTCAGTTCTATGTAAGGGAATGCTAAAATGTGTTACAACTTACCCCACCCCTGTCATCCAATGTTTAGTTAGCTGTATTAGCATAATGGTTTGAAATTAGCAGTTTAAAAATTCATCACATTTTGCCTGAGAATCTATAATTTATTCTTATGTAAATTATATGATTTAATCTGCAACGGTTTAAGTATTAAGCAAAATATAGTTTTGGTAACTTTGATTCTTACACCAAAATCATTTTTTTCTTCATCCCCTCAACTGTCACCCCCCATTTTTTAAAATAGGCATGCAGGTGCACTAACCAAACTTAAATTGTTGTTATTTATGAACACTTTGCAATACAGACATAAGGTTGGTCTCTTTTTAAAGAAGAAAATCAGCAGATTATTATATTAACATTCCAAAAGTGGAATGTTAAAATTAAATTAATGTATCAAAAAGTTATGGTAGTTTAAATTTACTGTAAAGAAAATGCACTATATTAATTTTATTTTATATATAATAAATATTTTACATAACAGGTTTTACTCTAAAATTGGTATAAAATTAAAGCCTTATGTCTAAATAAGTTATGTTCCAAATTTGAAGTTGATATGAAAAAAAATTGAGATTCCTGTGAGATTTTATTTAGGGCGTTATACCACAAGCAGGTGCCATCCAAACTCCATTGAATTTTTTAATATAATTTTTTTCTCTATATATTACTATATTATATTACTTCTATCTCAAATATGGAATCCTGAGACTCAGACCTTTCCAATGATATGTTTTTTGTCAAGATTATAAAAAGGTTTGATTCTAAAAGACCGTAATTCATTTTGCAATATGACACTTGACACTGCCCACTAAGGGGAGGAGACCACCAAAATATTTTAAAGTACCATTTCCATGGTAATGCAATGTCCGATTTCAAAATGGTTTTCACAGGATACATTTTGGGCTTCCAAGCTTTCTAATGATGTATGATTTATGATGATTACTAAAAGATTTGATAAGAGAAAAAGGAGAACAAAAAAAGAGCGCCAAACATCCCACAGGTGGGACGGTGACAGTTAAGGGGTTAAAAAATCTGCATATATCTATTTACAGCCTTGACAACCATTCATATAAGATCGGGGAGGAAATTGGTAAATAATTATATCACCATAGGACTCCTAGCTTATCCCTGATAGGTGGAAATGGTGTTGCTACAACTCTCCCCATGTTACAACCATACCCGTTCTCCCCTACACAGCAGAATTGAGAAAACAAGCCCCAAAGAACCACAACTTTCCTCAAAGCATGAAACCAATTAAATGATGTAAATGTCTTTTTTATATTGTTATTCACAAAACATTTACAAATCTTTTGTTCAAGAGCTTGCAGTGAAACTCATGTGACTTTAGGAAATGAGGCTTCACTGCATCGTGGCCTGAACACCACAAAATTCGAGAAATATGACACCGAGTTGGAGAACCCATGAGTGTCTAATGTTTTAACATGTCTTGGTTCAGATTTATAAAGGTAGGTTCATTTTCAATTGATTAATTTTAATATGAATGCGTGTATAAAACAAAAATGAGAGTGAGTTGTACTGTCAAGCCCTGCCTAATAACACACAAAACAAGGACAATTTTACAGAAACGTCGTATATTTAATGCCATTTAATGATTGGCAAATTCATAGACTGAGCTTGCGGGTGAGTTTTAGTTGCATTCACACAATTTTGACCAGCAGCGCGTCACCAGCTCGAAATTGTGAATCAAATACTAAGCAATTTGTTCAGTTGATGAAAAGCTTATTTTTTCCCTCTAGTAGAGACAACAGGAAGAGATGTTGCTTATTCACTAAACATGTTGCTAAGATGTTGCTTAGCTGGAGGGCTTGCAATGATGAGATTGTGGTTTGAATGGGAAGCGTGCAATAACTAATGCTCAAGACATCTTAGCTTAAAAACAAAAACACATAACGATGTCAAAAATAAATAAGTATAAAAATGAATAAAATTGTAGATAGAAATGATAAAAACTGATAAGATGTGGCCATGCTACACGCTTATTAACTTTTAAATAAACAGTTCAGTTTGTCCTGATGGGTGTTTTTATTTTCCAGTTTTGGACATTATTTAATAAACAGGCTCTTTCTGTTCTTCAGCTGTTTTTCTTCTTTCTTCTGCTGGTGTTTTCAGTCTTACAGCTGGATTTCTTGAACATTTGAAGGCGTTTAAAGCTCCTGCTGCATTTGTCCAGCTGTTTGTCCGTCTGTGTCAGGAACTCTAGAGAGATGGAGAGTGTTAAAGCAGTAAAACTACAGGACAGTGAGAGAGAAAGAGAAAGAGGGCCGTTTCTCACCCATCCTCTGGATCACGGCAGTCAGCATCGAGTCCTCCTCCTCCTCCCTGATGAAGAACACAAACACATCCATCAGTAATAACACACGACTGTCATGTGACCTCACACTGCTGATCATGTGACCTCTGACCTCTGCCTGTCCAGATCCAGGCTGCTGATGATGTCATTCCTCTGCTGGATGATTGACAGCAGGCGTGACATCAGCTGATCTTCCTGATGGCTGTCATCAGAGCTCCAGTCCTGCTCTGAGAATTACACACACATTCACAATCAACTACAAACTCCTGACACACAGTACTCAGATCAGTTCATACACTGCAAACTCTGATGTTCTTCTGAGATTAAAGCAGAATTCACACTAATCAGTATTAAATCACATCAGCACAAACATATTCACATGTATAAACATGCTTGCGTTTCTGGTTACCTGGTTTGTTAAAGAGGCGCCTGATCTCAAACTCCACATCAGCCTGTTGATCCTCCAGACGCTGCTGCTTCACCCTGAAAACATACACACACACGTTACATGTTACACACACATTATTCTGCTCAACATGTGGTGTATCTGTGTGATGTGTGTTAAATGTGTGTACTCACATATACACTAGCTCTGTGTCTCTGCGCACTAAGATGTTCTTCTCATGAATCAGAAGGAACCAGTCGACTAGAAGATGCTCTGAAACACACACACATTCACAAACACACACAGTTAGCTTGTCTGTTTACTGCGTCTGTTAGCAGCTACTACAGTCATTTACAGTAGACTAAATACTACAGTGTTTTTTTAACCATACTTTACGGCGGTGTCCGCTCACAGTTCCCCTGAGGCGGCGGGGTCCGCTCACAGTTCTCACGAAGCGGCGGAGCCTGCCATTGCCCGTTCCAAGGCGGCAGCTCCACACACACCGCTGTGGTGGCCGCTGGTTCTGCCCCAGTCCCCAGGTCTCCCTCTACCACACGGACATGGGCCCCCCCATCCCTCCCCCTACTCCACCCCCGCTCTGCCGTCCCCCTGGTTGGGCGCTCTGGAACGTCTGGAAGCCGTTCCTTAGAGGAGGGGGACCTGTCAGGGTCTGGCGTCTGGTGTTTCTCCCTCTCACCACCAGAGGTCGCCATTTCCCATCCTTCCGGACTCCTTTACCTTCACTCCACTCACCTGTTCTCTCATTACCTTATTATTGATTTATTTGTCCCAGCTGTTTACCTGATTGCCTCTCCCTTATAAGCTCCCTGTGCTTTCTGTTCTGGGCTCGTTTGTCTCACATAGGTGTCGGATCATGCCTTTGGATTGTGGCTACCCTGTGCCCAGTTTATGTCTCGTGGTGAGCTTTTATGTTTCTCTGGCTTTTTCCCCTTCGGGGTGGTTTCAGTTGTGTTTATTGTTTATTTTTGTTGTGAGTCATAAATAAAGACACCCCATCTGCCTGCACTTGAGTCTTCGCCTCTTTCGAACTGTGACATATAGTAGCTATGTATGTTGGTCTGTTAGCATTAACATTAACAGTGTACAGTTACTTTTAAAAGTAATGCATTACAATATTGCATTGCTCCCTAAAAAAGTAACTAATTATGTTACTTAATTACTTTTCATGGAAATTAATGCGTTACTTTTGAGTTACTTTTTAAATCTGGGCACGCTTGCTTGTTTGTTTTTAATATAAAAAAGCTCTTCTTTTGCAAATGTAAAAGCCCCTTTACACCAAAAGTGAAACGAATACGCCTCAGGCTGATGGGAATGTAAATTCACGTCTGTTTATAAATTCATTTGACTATTTTTATTCATTTCGAGAAATACTGAATCTGTTTTTGTTCAGTGAGATGAGTAAATGCATGTTCATATTTAGTCTAGAACTACAGTAAGCATCATGTTCACACAGCGCACAAAACTCCTCTGCACTTACTCCTGATTTCTCTTAACATGGCAACACGAGAGCTGTCAGTCAATACATGGGAAACAGTAACTGTCGTTACTTGTTTGAAAAGTAACTCAGACATTTCCTTCCATATAAAAAAAAAGTAATGTTTTACTTTACTAATTACTTGAAAAAAGTAATCTGATTACGTAACTTGTGTTACTTGTAATTAGTGATCAACCGATATTGATTTTTTTTTATTACCGATACCAATTATTTGCATGTTTATGTGCCCAATAACTGATATGCAGAACCGATATTTATTTACTGTTATAAAGTAAATAAATGACTAAGTGAAGTAAGAACATACTTCACTTAGTTTTTTCCTCTTTTCAGTCATCTTTTTTTTTAAAGTGTTGAACATTAGCAGTCATTCATGATAAAAATTAATCTTCATACTACAACAATAAAAAAACATTTTATTTATAAAAAGCATCAACAGCAACAACACTAATATTAACAATATTAGTATTAACATAGGAAAAATAAATGTCTAATGTTTTCAAATGGAGAAAATAAATAAAGGACAGGAGTCATATCAACTTCATTTTAAACTACAGTTTTAGTAGGGTTCTAAGCTGTTTAATAGATACAGAGTCAAGAATAATTCACTGGATAATGTTAATTCACTGAATAATATTCTCTGGAATGTTGAAATATAACAAAAAAAACATCGTATTTTATTGCATTTCTCAACTGGAATGTTATATCAGAATTACTAATAATGTTTTTGTCCTTCTAGATTATGAAATGCCTGTTGACAGCATGGTTTATATATGCAGTTTTTTTTTTTTACATTAAAGCATGTCAACATATTCTGTTATACCAAATACACAAAATAATGATCTTTAAAATAGCATCATATGACCCCTTTAAAAGAAATTATGAATTAAAATAATAATGAAATGTAAGTATTTCTCTCTCTAAGATTGTCTTGTACTGTAAGTGAAGCTCTCTTATCATTAATATGAAGTATTGTTCACTCCAGCAGCACAACAAAGACAGTTTGTATCTCACCTTCCTCTTGATGAGCGGGAAACCATGAACAGGAGCTGCAGCCTGGTGCATACTGGGAACTGAAGATGAGGTTTGGGGTTTGTGTGCAGCTGAGGTTTCGTAACTGAAAGGTTTTTTCTTGACAAAGAGAAAAACAGAGAGGCAGTCTGATGTTAAAACACACACACACACACACACACACACACACACACACACACACACACACACACAAATAATATCCTTTGAGATTGCAAAGAGAAAAATAACCCACAACCACAAACTGTGACTCTTCAGTCTGAGCATCAGATGTTTGTTTATCTGGTTCTCTGACTGAATGACGCTCACACACATCCACTAGATAAAAGTGATAACAGCTTCAACCACAGGTTGAACATTAGAGAGAAAAGGTTTTTTCTTGACAAAGAGAAAAACAGAGAGGCAGTCTGATGTAAACACACACACACACACACACACACACACACACACACACACACACACACAAATAATATCCTTTGAGATTGCAAAGAGAAAAATAACCCACAACCACAAACTGTGACTCTTCAGTCTGAGCATCAGATGTTTGTTTATCTGGTTCTCTGACTGAATGACGCTCACACACATCCACTAGATAAAAGTGATAACAGCTTCAACCACAGGTTGAACATTAGAGAGAAATCACATGACTCCGAAAGGGAAATTAAAGCTACATTGTTCTCTATTTCAGTTCATTAAAGTGGAGATGCTACTTCTTTATCTGAATTTGTGACTCAGGTCTAATCTGGTCTCTGAAGGTCTAGACTCAGATCTGATCTCATCATGACTGGGTGATGAATTAGGTTTAAGGTTCTTGACCTTCCTTGATAAAACTGACACAATTTATGCCACATTCGTTATTGTTTAGAGCTGACAGTTTGTTTACAGTTTTTTTTCCAACTGCTTACACAAAATCTTTACTTGTCACACAATTTCTGAAAGCTGACACTCAAACACCCAAATCTGCAAAACCATACGCTAATTCTCGGCCTTTGACTCAGTTTTCAATTTCATAAAACACTTTTTGCAAAACACAACACACAATTCTCTATGTAACACACAAAAATCTAACAAGAATTAATATTATGGCAAAGGTGTTTGCTTTTGAGATGTGTTTGTGATATTTTGAATGCAGTGCTTCATTTGCAAGAGATGTGAGGTATTTAGCATTTTGTGTGTGCAATTCTTGGATTTGTGTGTAAAGTTTTGAAAAGAAGAGCCAAAGTTTTGAAAATGTGTGTAAGCAGTTGAAAAAAAAGGTAAATGAGTCAAAGACTGGGAATCAGTGTGTTTCTCAGGTAAACCTGATACTGACGGCCTCTGCTAACACTAGCAACTCTATTCCCAGCCTAGAGATCATATGACTCATCTAAACTAGAGGAGGCTAAATATAGAGGAGTAGAGGAGTCCAAACTAAAACTAGAGGAGTACAAACCAGTGAAGAACCAGGGTTGGTTGAATAAACCTGCTGGTTTGTGCCAGTTCTTCAGAAACTACCTTCATTCAGTACCTCTTCATCCTTGGACTCGTCCTCCAGGAAGGGGTTAAAGGTCACGGGCCGGTGGCGGGAATGAGCGGATGGAGCCGGAGCCGGAGGAAGACGAGACCAAGGACCCGGATCAACCAGCTTCATCCAGGGATGTTCCTTACAGACAGTGCTCTGAGACGAGACTGAAACCAGAACGAGAAAAACACACAAGACACAATAAAACATGCATTTCAACTGATACAAATTTCAGATTTAATGACTGAATGTAAAGGTGTCATATCATGAAAATCTGACTTTTCCAGGTTTTAAGTGCTATAATCAGGTCCCCAGTGCATCTACCAACCAAGGAAACGTGAAAAAGATTAACCCAGTAACTTTGTTTTGGTAAGCCATCAGATTTAGCTCCCTTGGTGACGTGGCAAAGGGATCTCATTATAATATTACCACCTCTTAATCTGTAAGTTTCCACCCACAGCACCGCCATTTTGATTTCGCAAGTGACAACGGTGCAACGTTACCAGTGCTAATGCCATGGCGAAAGTTTGAGCAAAACATGCTAACTGTTCTATCTTTGGCTGCACAGACGAACACAGAACACTATTTAAAGTCACAGCCTCAGAGGAGACGAGAGAGCAGTGGATTTATTGATTAATTTACTGTATATTGCTGCTGGCACACAGATCTAAAATAAACATGCAATTTATTTCCCAGCTGTTTACCTTCACAGACATAACCGACTGTTTTTTGTAACTCGTGTGTTTTTAACGTAAACTTGTGTGTGAATGAGAACTTAGTTTAGCACTCACATGCTGTGACAGCCGCTTTCTGTCCGTGTGCTTCGGATTTGTGCGCTCAGAAAACCGTATATCTGAAGTTTAAACTCATATGGTTTAAAATGCATGATTTCAGCACGATAAACATGATAATCAGAACCAAAACAGATGTTTTTTTAGCAGGTACTAATGATGTCTGGTTCGCGAACGAATCATTCGATTTAACCGGTTCTTCTTAGTGAACCGGTCGAACCAGTTCACCAAATCGGACTCAATCGTTTGAAACGGTTCACGTCTCCAGTAAGCATTAATCCACAAATTACTTAAGTTATTCACTTTTTAACGTGGCTGGCACTCCCTCTGAGTCGAAAATAAACCAATATCCCGGAGTTATTCATTTACTCAAAAAGTACACTGAGTGAACTGCTGCTAAACACGAGCGGAGCAGCATGTGTGCAGCGTGCCTGGTAACGAACGGACACACTCACTGTAACACCGTGTCTACACCGGACGCGACAGTTGTCATGCCGCGCCGCAACAGCTAAAGTCTGTCTACACTGGACGCAACAATGCGACCGTTGAAAATCATTTGAAATTTGCGTCAGCACATCATAAATAGAATGCAGCAGCAGTTTTCTGTCGGGGATTTGTCGTGTCGCGCCGCATCCCGTGTAGACAGCATCACTGATTATAATGAGATCTATAGTGTTTTGTCGCGCCGCACCGCTCACGTCCGGTGTAGAGCGGTTCTCGTTCTCGAGTCAAGAACCGGTTGCATCAGTTTTCGGATCACCGGTACACTCAACCGAGAACTGTTTCTTTTGGACACGACCGATTTGAGAACCAATGAGCTGATGATACTGCGCATGCGTGATTCAGTGTGAAGCTACCGAACAGTACATGATTGCCAACTATGACCTACAGACACAGCACGTCTGAATCGAACTGGTTCTTTTGGACAACTCATTCTGTGCTAATGTTATGAGCGCGGGTAAACCGAGGACTTAAATGAAGGGCAATCTGGCGAAACGTAGTTTATTTAATAACAAATAAATCGCAATGGATTATGTATAGTAAGTGGATTATGGTTTCTGCGCTGATGACAACTAATTTATTTACTTTATATCTTCAAGACTTAAATCCTTGTATGTGCATCTTCACGGCCTGTTACTGTATTTGGGTGCTTAGTTGCAAAACTTAATTGTAAACTTTTCAGATCATGATTACGATGTTTTCACTGACTGAAGTTATGATTACTGACTTTATATATTTGAATGTGTATTTTTATCCCGGCCCGGGATGATAGACTTGATATCATTACGTCAAATGACGTCATTACGTTAGGGCATAAAAGAACCGATGAACCTGTTTGCGGAAAAGAACCAAACTTCCCATCACTAGCAGGTACGAGCTGTAATGGCGCAGCTCTATTCTGCAAAAGGGGGTGGGAAGCAGTAGCTCATTTGCATTTAAAGAGTGTTTCAGAGAGTTTCTGCTTCCATTCAAAATAGGCATTTTCAAAAGTATTTTGAGCTGAAACTTCACAGACACATTCTGGGGACACCAGAGACTTGTATTACATATTGTATAAAGGGGCATAATATGTCTCCTTTAAAACATCAAGGTAAACCATTACTGTAATAATCACCTATTTAAAATTACAGTGGGGCAAAAAAGTATTTAGTCAGCCACCAATTGTGCAAGTTCTCCCACTTAAAAAGATGAGAGAGGCCTGTAATTTTCATCATAGGTATACCTCAACTATGAGAAACAAAATGAGAAAAAAAATGTTTTCACTGACTGAAGTTATGATTACTGACTTTATATATTTGAATGTGTATTTTTATCCCGGCCCGGGATGATAGACTTGATATCATTACGTCAAATGACGTCATTACGTTAGGGCATAAAAGAACCGATGAACCGGTTTGCGGAAAAGAACCGAACTTCCCATCACTAGCAGGTACGAGCTGTAATGGCGCAGCTCTATTCTGCAAAAGGGGGTGGGAAGCAGTAGCTCATTTGCATTTAAAGAGTGTTTCAGAGAGTTTCTGCTTCCATTCAAAATAGGCATTTTCAAAATGTTGAGTATTTTGAGCTGAAACTTCACAGACACATTCTGGGGACGTAAGTGTAACATACATGTGTAACATGTATGTGTAACACGTGTAACAGAGATGAAGATTCTAACCGTTGTCAGGGTGATGATCCGGTGATCTGGGGGTGGGGCGAGGAGGTTCCGCCCTCTTTCTGGGAGCATGTTTGGGAGGTTCTTGGATGTCAGTCTCTGATGAGGTGGAGAGACGTCCATCATTAATTTTGTCTTCATCTGTCTCACTCCTGTCTCTGTCCATCTCACTCCTGCCTCTGTCCGTCTCACTCCTGTCTCCGTCCGTCT